ATAAATACAGGTTAGATTAGCATTACAGAGAATTCTGTGATACCCCTGTACAGTTGGTCCACTTCCAGACCAAGATCCCCTCGAAGAGCCGTCCTGAAATTCAAATTTGTTTGGGATGGAATGTCAGTTTTAACTCTGCCGCCTTATCTACATTGTATTGTCTGTACCTATTCTAGATACTGATAAAAGGTTCGTGTAATAACAAATAAATGGTAACCAACGACGATTGCTATATATATATCCTTGGCTAGGGATAGAGAAGGAACCCGATGCTCGAAAACAGGTTCCGTCATCATTTATTTACGGAATTATATCTAATACCTGTGTTTGTACCGTCTCAGTAATGTTAATTCTGAGTAAATTAATGCAAGTGATAGATAATCAATACAGGTTAATATTCACCTGTAATCTGATATACAAAAATGTCGTGGACACTTGTCAAGGATGAGACTTTATGCTGTTTTCGTGTTTCCATTGTTTATCCTATTCTCACAATTATCGATCATATAATATGTATGATACTTGCAGGTGATTTTTATTGTTTCCTACGTACATGTGTGTCTTTAAGTGACTAGTTTCATTGTGTTATCGTAATGCAACCATTTGTAGTTGAGGCCAGTTTGGATTTACACCGTTTTGTCCCTTAGCACTTCTAACACCTGTATGATGCAATGCGATTCCTTTTTTCGCGTACTGTTTCTATTATTGAATTGTATTGGGTTGTCGGGTGTCGAAGTGGATAGCGCACTTGCCTTTCACCAAGGTGGGCGGGGTTTGATTCCCCGATCGAACGTGAAAAGGTATAAAAGGTACGGGGTCACCTGGCCGATAGGTTTTCTCCGGGAACTCCGGTTTCCGCCCACAGTGAGACTCTCTGCGCGCTAACATCCGGGTCATCAATAGTGATTAGTATAATCTTGTTTCATAATTGTTGTGAAATGAAATAAATAAATTTTATATTATGTCAAATAGTATAGGTGAAGTTGCATGTATGCGTGTGTGTTGCATTCCTCCTTATATGGTAACATGCTGCTAGTAATGATTTTTCCTGTCAGAAACTTTCAGAACGTGTATATAGTCCTAACATACTATATTGGAATAGACAGGGAATGTCATTTATTATTTACTGTAACTTAGGAAACGTCTATAAAAACACCTGATTTTATCAATCCTGGCGGTACATCGCAATCGATATGACACACGAAAGTATGGTTATCTTAATCTTTTCTTGCCACGAATTTCTTTCTAAAAAATAGCATATAAATATGTATTTAAGAGTTTGTTGCCTTTTATATACTTTTATGTATCCTGACACACACATTTTCAGTTATGAATTTCAATATTCTTAAAAACAACATTTATTTGTATATACGATGACAATTTTTGTACCCGTTAAGCTAATAATGCTTGATCCAGTTGTACATCAAGTTCCATTAGGTTCAATACTTGTCCAGGCTTCGGTATCACAAACATTTTCTCTAATCTCAAGCTCAAATTTTAAGTTTGAACTCAGCTGAGATTTACCGCCAAACGGTAAAACTTAAGCTCAAGCTCAGCTGAGCTTGCTGACGTAAACTTCCGCTTAACTCTTCACACAAGTAAGAGCACACTTCTCGTGTCAAGGCTGTGCAGGTTTTCGCGCGATGCCGCACATATTGTCTGTCAAAGCCCATGTTTACGTCGAAAGGATTTATTATTATTAAACGAAGAAGAGGTACAATCTTCGTGACAGTTTTTTGAAATTACAATCATACTGTTTTAAACAATATGTTTCTACTTCACTCAAAATAACACAGATCGATTCCTAGGACTGCCAATTTTAGAGGTGAGGAATGGTCAATGTGTAAGAAAGATCTTATGATGAAAATAAAGATCAATTTTAATCCTGTGTGATAAAAAAAATCCCGTTAGAAACGAAGATCTAAAGGAGAGGGTGACGTCGCGAACATTGCGTTTAATTTGAACGCGATACTTGGTATAATGACGTACTCGTGTGCCCGCGATTACATTAATATTGTGTCTGTGCTAAAGGTAAACCCAAGAACATACGGCAGGTGCGACACTAAATGGTCAAGTGTTATGATTCTCTTTCTATAAACTTAGGTCCAGACTTACACTTTCACTAAATTAAGTGATTATAAAGACATTTGTTTTGGTAAAATGTGAACACCCATAAATTACAGGTCTGCCAATCGAGACTGGGAGATGTATACATATATATATATATAGTTATTCATAGTGAACACTAACTTTAATGTTGTTACTTCATGTGTCGTTGCCTTTTAAATGTAGCTATAACCAAGTGCCAATAGTCCTTGGATTGCACAATGTACATGCGATTATATGTTATACATGTATTTTGATGTTAAAGTGTATCGCACACACTTTTTAATGTGAAGCCAAAAATATCCGTTGTCCTCGATTTCCTTATTTCATCAAACTTTACAAATAATAGACTTACATTTCCACATTTGTTGAATACGATGTTCATTTCTTCTGGTTCTGTTACGTTGTCATTGATTGTCACTTAAATCACTGTTGTAATTGACATAGATTGTGGGAAGTGATTCCTTATAAATGTGAAATTGTGAATGTGAATGTCATGTGGTAAAATACACAGGGACCTGAGAATTGGTAACAACTATATTTGGACCTAAACTATTTACTTTGAACACCTTGAATTAGGTCCAAATATAGCAGTAACAAATTATCAGGTCCCTGTGGTATAATACTCCAATCAAGTCAATCCTTTGTCTCACTGTTATCAATTGAAGTCATGATTAACAAGGGAAATTATTTTTACATATGTATGTTTTGAGTTTATTTGTTCAACTGGTAACGTATATACCTTGGCATAAAATAGCATATTTTAGAACTACTTGGTTTAAAACCTTAAATGTGACTAATAATTAAGATACAGTTCACATTAACGATAAGTCGCTGTCTGGTGTATTTAATCAAGTCCCGCAATGCATTTAGTATTACTTCTAACGAGCAGACGACGATCTTGAGAAACTACATTACAACTGAGGTATTTGCATCGTTTTTGTTATTTTTCAGAATGAAATCTATACTGTTATCTGTAAATTATGGGAACAAATTACTGATTATACCCAGAATTGCATGTCGACACATTCAAATATCTCATTTTACCGAAAGATTGTCTAATAGAGCCTGTAACATCATCTCGGCGGAGCATAGCGCAAAGTCTGTCCGACTTGGACAAAAACTGGCAAGCCACGATATATCGTTTTACAAAAAGTAAAACAACATGAAAATACATCATTTAAAAAGATCACATACTCAGTTTTTCACGTGTACGGCCGTATTCGGACACCAGTCATCTCGTTTCACGGCTTATTCAAACGACTGTATTTTCAACACAAGGCTAATAAATTGAATAATATGGTTTACCTACACATTGTCTAGTAAAGATTGTGTGTCTCCAATAGTATGGATGATTGAGACAAATCAATATTGTAAAATCACTGATTTTCTTGTCATTATAATTATTCGCCAAGCCTGTCATTTTATTGCAAACAGCTTCGTTCTAGAGCTTGATTTCGAACTTAAGTCTGCTCTTGTGCACAGTCTTAGCTTTTTGACCTCAGCGTGAGGCGCTGAGCTGAGTTTTTATTTTGTGATAACGAAACACGGACGCTGAGCTTGAGTTCTTGAGTTCGGACTCAAATCTCAGCTTGAGGCGGCCTCAAGTACGTTTGTGATACCGAAGCCTGGTACATATGAATTATGTAAAGTGTACAGTATTATTAAAATTAATAAACAAAAAATGTACGCCTGTCTTTGGATTAAAAATTATATTTGGGATAAGATACACAACATTAATCATAATCTGCACATCTTTGTTGGAAAAAAAGGGAATGTGAAAATACTTTACGAATCATCAAGCTTGTGTTTCTTTATAAACTTATATTTTTTATAAACAATTTGCTGATGGGCCCTGAAGCCAGCGTTATTGACGAGGTTAAATGTCTAATAACAAAATCACCTAATAGCTTTACATCTGGAATTATCATATTTTACACGTTTTGGTTTATTGTATTGTAAACAGGTGAATACATTCAACTATATTATCGTTAATGGCATCTGTTATATATTAATGAACAATAAATGGAATCAATATATTTAGTATGCAAGATGGGCCGTAACAGGTCAGCACTTGTTTTCTCTCATAAACAAGTACACAATCCGATATCTTTGAATATATCATCTGTCTCATAATATGTGTACAAGCAAAAACTTCTCAGAAGTGTGTTGATTTACAATTTTACAATACGTAATGACTAAAATAGGTATAGGGATATTTCGGTAACACCATCGCCCTAATGACGCAAGATAGTGTCAAAAAAATAGTTTGTTGGTGCAACGATTTTAGAAATTAAAATATGTAATTGAATTCATATGTCTACTTGTACATATATTGATATAGGATAGGACTTGCTCCGTTAATTATCAATATATAGATTATATGACAAATATATATATACTAGTAACAAGGGTTCATATATCCCCCTCGGAGATACGGCTTTCACGTGTCAGCAACCATTACCAAGAGGTCAAGGTCACCAATGTATGCACTAGAACTTGGCTCAAGCAGAGCCCACTGACATGGTTTGGGTCTTATTTTGCTTCAACTGCGACGGAAATATTGTCCATATTGTCAAGAGCACCGGTATAGAGATATAGTAGGTCGTATACCAACCAAACATTGTCACAACATGGAGACTAAGGACTTGTTCATGGAGTCAGAACCAAGCATGTTTAAAGGTGGATATTAACCTCATTTACATCCTCTATTTATCAGTTTATGTTCTGTCCTTACCATTCCTATTTAAATCTAGTCAGTTGCCTTTGAAGGATACATATGACTTGATGCACATTTACGTAAGATAGTTCCTTAACCAAATGATAAGTACCTGAGGGTTGTCTTGCATGTTTTTTCCCCTTTTAGATAAAGTTTATCTATTCTATGTTTGCAGCAACCCGGCCAAGGAGCGGGAAAAAGAAAGCGTGCGACCGTCCTGCAAGTCGAACGACAGTCCGCGCACCCATCCTTCCCGGGAGTCCGGCCCATACGGACAGGCCTTACAGCCGGACCACGGGCCGCTCCTCTCCCATTCGGCTGTATCCCAAGAGCCCCACCCTCATTAGCGAAAGGGTATACAGTGCCTACGCCAGGAGTCGCCCGTCAACCGGGAAAACCATCCAATCAAAGAGTCACACTATGACGTCAGCAACAAAATCGGGGCGGGAAACCAGCGCCAGCTTCCGTCCTATCGACAATGCGTTCATTGAGGTCACTAAGGATGTGATAGGACTCAGTGTTTGGCGGATAGAGGTAATGCTACTATAATGCATTTTATTTCTGGAATATTCCTTGCTCTGAAGGGTTTCATGAAGCCTTCATCATTATATGATACTATAACATAACTACATTCGGTTGACGTCAATGTTATCACCGTCTATTATGTAATATTTTAGATTTAGACTTCAGTGCGGACAAAAATTATTAGCAATACCGGATATGAATTTATCATGTTAGTTACATTTTTATAGATTTTTAAACACACGGTTGTACCTGTACAGACGATATTTGATTGGTTTATGATGTCTGGTATCGTATTTATTGCTACTTACAATTGGTTTGCATTGATTGTTTGCTTGAAGCTCGTAATCATACCGGAAACATGGCGTCTCTTCTATTGCATCATACACGCTCCACGGGGAAATTAAATTTCTGGCCATAAATCATTAAATGCACTAACACATGGAACGGTTTATAAAGCAAGCAATAAGAATGTAAATCATTTGATTCACTGACTCCTGAAATGTTTTCTCTGTCTATATAACCGTGTTCGAACGTAACTATGCCGTACTAAAACCATATCGTCTCCTAGCTGCGATCTAAAACGTATAATTTCTTATCGTGTAAAATAATTGAATTTATGATTATTAATATATCGCCTGGTGAGATAATCGTGAAACTCCTTACAATGCATTGGGTTATTAAGGCCTGATTGCGAACAATCCCACGCTCCAATAGTTCTATATGGCGGCAAGTGTAACGTGATCTACAGGCGGAAATTATCCGGGTCACTGCCACGCTTTGTAGGCTTCGGGATCTTCACAACTGTACATTTAAACCTCACAACGACACAGATGACAAGATTTCAGTGTTTAATTAGGATGCTTGGGGAGATTAGCGACAATCACAACCACGATTGCGACATTAAACATGAGATAATGTTTAAACCCCTGGGAACTATTTCATAACCCTCTGGTGGGATCCTCTGCATTTTCTGTTCGAGTATTATACTTTAATTCGTCACCCGATTTCAACACTTGATAATAAGCCCGAAAATAGATCCCAGAGCGCTAAAGTGTGTTCTTTATATGAGAACTCGAGTTGTAATGACAGAACGAGAAATACACAATTAGATATATCTGCTAAATCAGCAGGGCTGTAGTTGTATTGCACATGTTGGCTTGTATATATAGGCTATTTCTCGGTATATCAACAATGTTTATATAAGTTGTACCTTTTTTTATTTCCGGATTTTTATTTTGCAACCAGCTTTGTATATCTGTTCATGATTTTGATCAGATCTTCGCAACAGTAGGCATAAACGATCACTTGCCAAATAATTAAATAAAACTTACATACGCATTTTTTTGTAATGTATCTCTGCATATCATATGTAGAATTCGGCTGGTAACTAAAGTGATATTCAAATATGTACCTTTTTAACAATTGTCTAAAGAGCTCTTCCATTAATGTATAATATAATACACAAGCCTGAAACTTATTATTTTGTACCCAAGCTCTAGAGGACGTGGAGTATTGTTTCGGACTTTTCCTTGATATAAACCGTCTCAACTCTCAGATTATACCGCAACAGATGTCAAGAGCGACACCTCAGAAAGGAAGCAATAGCTAGCATATATACTCATCAGAGGAGTGGAAGAGGGGAACTAGAGACAGATAAAATCTCTTTTTTTACGGTCATGCATGGGGATATTTCAGGAAAAGTATTTTCCCTTCACAAGAAGCGGATTTTAATTTCATTTATTTTTTTATTTTCTTAACTTATGTTATATTTTGTTTTACAGAATAAACTAAAAGTGGTTAAAATAGATGAACAAGAGCATGGATTTTTCCATGAAGGAGCAGCGTATGTCGTGCTAAAGGTAAGGGGACCTTCTAACCAATACACTCTCAAGTAGTCGATGAAGTTCATGTGATAATAAATTCCATTCCATATCATAACAAATATAACATAATACCAAAGTTTTGGAAAGATGAAATTTAAAAGATTATTTTATTAAAGTCCTTTATATCGCTACGTTTGCAGTTTAAATGGACACGAGGTTCAATGCAATGCCTGCAAAGCGAATGCATTTCCAGTTGCGTTGTTATAGTGTGTTGTGTATTTAGGGAATTGTTGTGCTGCGATAACTACTGTATATTTATTTGTAATTTACTTACCTATTGAACATATAAACAACGCTAACTTTACAACAGGCGAACATTCCCAGTTTTGCAGTATCTATTTGAATGCATTTAGAGTGGCATTGACCGTTGAACACGATGCCGTGGGTACAGTAAGAATGGTCTGTTATAGGTTGATGCCGAGGAAGTGACATCCTTACACTACTGGTGTGGACTGGCGTGTCCAGAGGTGGGTATTCGGAACACCTCTATATTCTTACCTGATACATTACATTTCATTGTCAATCAATGAATCTATAATTAATGACAAATAATTAAGCATGATCAAATTATGATGCCTACATGTACATTGGTACGACAGCATTGTGCTACCTTTGTTCTTCAGTAAAAACACAGGAGGCAAAATGTACACACTTGCTCGTATTCACGAAAAGGTTCTCCGGTTCAAACTGTGATTATGCGCGCAAGTCAAATTCCTTGTTTCAATGATTTTGTTTATCAATATTGAAAAGAAAAGACATAAATAAGTATAGACATTTTTTCCGTGTCACCAAATCAATATTTTTACTCTTTATGTAATGAATAATAGGAAAACGATCTACTTTACAAGACAAACTCAGTTATTTCATACTTACAATGTTTAAATGTCATAATTTGTTGTAGTCGGAGGCAAAATTGATAGAACAGAAGGCCCATGAACTCGACAGAATCCTTAACTATGCCACATTATTTTCGAAAGAGGTAGGTCCGTAAAAATAATAACCTCGAAACATAGTTGTTAACTCTTAACAGATAATAAATTTACATTGTACATTGAGAGAACTGTATCTTATTTGGTACGGTGATGATCATAAACAGAGAATAAATTTACATTGTAAATTGAGAGTACTGTATCTTATTTGATACGGTGATGATCATAAACAGATAATAAATTTACAGTGTAAATTGAGAGTACTGTATCTTATTTGGTACGGTGATGACCATAAACAGATAATAAATTTATAATGTAAATTGAGAGTACTGTATCTTATTTGATACGGTGATGATCATAAACAGATAACAAATTTACATTGTAAATTGAGAGTACTGTGTCTTATTTGGTACGGTGATGATCATAAACAGAGAATAAATTTAAATTGTAAATTGAGAGCACTGTATCTTATTTGGTACGGTGATGACCATAAACAGATAATAAATTTATATTGTAAATTGAGAGCACTGTATCTTATTTGATACGGCGATGATCATAAACAGATAACAAATTTACATTGTAAATTGAGAGTACTGTATCTGATTTGATACGATGATGATCATAAACAGATAATAAATTTACAGTGTACATTGAGAGTACTGTATCTTATTTGGTACGATGATGATCATAAACAGATAATAAATTTACATTGTACATGAGAGTACTGTATCTTATTTGATACGGTGATGATCATAAACAGAGAATAAATTTACATTGTAAATTGAGAGCACTGTATCTTATTTGATACGATGATGATCATAAACAGATAATAAATTTACATTGTACATGAGAGTACTGTATCTTATTTGATACGGTGATGATCATAAACAGAGAATAAATTTACAGTGTAAATTGAGAGTACTGTGTCTTATTTGGTACGGTGATGATCATAAACAGATAATAAATTTACATTGCAAGTTGAGAGTACTGTGTCTTATTTGGTACGGTGATGATCATAAACAGATAATAAATTTACATTGTAAATTGAGAGTACTGTATCTGATTTGGTACGGTGATGATCATAAACAGATAATAAATTTACAGTGTACATTGAGAGTACTGTATCTTATTTGGTACGATGATCATAAACAGAGAATAAATTTACATTGTACATGAGAGTACTGCATCTTATTTGATACGGTGATGATCATAAACAGAGAATAAATTTGCATTGTACATGAGAGTACTGTATCTTATTTGGTACGGTGATGATCATAAACAGATAATAAATTTACATTGCAAGTTGAGAGTACTGTGTCTTATTTGGTACGGTGATGATCTTAACAGAGAATAAATTTACATTGTAAATTGAGAGTACTGTATCTTATTTGATACGGTGATGATCATAAACAGAGAATAAATTTACATTGTAAATTGAGAGCACTGTATCTTATTTGATACGATGATGATCATAAACAGATAATAAATTTACATTGTACATGAGAGTACTGTATCTTATTTGATACGGTGATGATCATAAACAGATAATAAATTTACATTGTAAATTGAGAGTACTGTATCTTATTTGATACGATGATGATCATAAACAGATAATAAATTTACATTGTAAATTGAGAGTACTGTATCTGATTTGGTACGGTGATGATCATAAACAGAGAATAAATTTACATTGTAAATTGAGAGTACTGTATCTGATTTGGTACGGTGATGATCATAAACAGATAATAAATTTACAGTGTACATTGAGAGTACTGTATCTTATTTGGTACGATGATCATAAACAGAGAATAAATTTACATTGTAAATTGAGAGCACTGTATCTTATTTGATACGATGATGATCATAAACAGATAATAAATTTACATTGTAAATTGAGAGTACTGTATCTTATTTGATACGGTGATGATCATAAACAGAGAATAAATTTACATTGTAAATTGAGAGTACGGTATCGTATTTGATACGGTGATGATCATAAACAGATAGCCAAGAATACGTTTAGTTGTAATTGTTTTGCAATTCGGTTCATATTTGATGTATAATCTTAACATTTCAGACTCAAAGTCTTGAATCAACACGTTTCCTGCGACTTTTCCCAGAAGGCGTGATGTAAGTTTAACTTTAGATTTGTCATTCAAACAATTATATTCTCCAATGAAAATGCACTCACTCCGAGACTATTTACAATGTGTAACAGTATATTCTTTGTAATAACAGTGTACTTCAACTCACTGCATTGACATTTCTCTCTACCAAAAGAAAGGGCTACAAAACGAAATGGTTATTATTCTTTCCTCGGGAACTATCACTATTAAACGATGTTCTATTTGTATTCTATGTAGATACATTGAGAGTAAACCAAAGACGACGGTCAGCCGAGCGGCAGCATATATCAAAAGCATGTACAAAGTGATGGGCCGGAAGTACATCCGAGCTGTTTGTGTAAGTTGTTCCTCTATAGTTATTCTTTAACATTTATCATACCCTACAAAGGTAGGTGTTCAATTCTATTCATTAAATACCGATCACATGTATAGCTTAGTGTCTATTACATTATCAAGATAAAGCCCCGTGCTAAACATCAAACTGTTATCCTCGGTTTGCAATTTCTCTAACTACAATTTGTACATTTCTCAGGAGCGATAGATTTTTTCAAACTTTCTTTACGTTAATCACAATATGCATCATCGTTGTGATCTTGCTCTGTATCGTGACTACTAGGTTGAACCCTCCCTGGACGCCCTTGATACTTCATCGGCCTGTATACTTGATGGACATCCCCGAATGTACGTTTGGGTGGGATCGCACTGCCCGTACAGCACCAGGATAAGGGTACGTACATGCCTGCTATCCCACAGTATTCTCTTAACGTGCATTCATTCACATTTGCATAATGCCTTGATGATTTGTCTTTGTATGGATAAATATACATTTGGCCGCACTGTACTACTGTCTTTCTCTCTGCTTAGTTTTCGGACTGATTTTATTAATATTCATTATATTGATTGTCTGGTTCGCTAAAACATCTACTTCAATCAATAATTGCATACAAATCAACGAGTCACGAGATGATATGCTTCAAAAAGTAAAATAAAAATATGTGTATAACTCCCCCAGCCATTTTCAATTATTCCCTTATTTATAAAAGTCACTGTCTTTTTCTGTTTAGGCAATTAATTTAGCGAAGAAATTCCGCAACATGCAGAGGAAAGGAATTGCTCATATTATAGTTATAGGTAAGTCCACTGATTGACAAGCATTATAACTGGTATTTGAGTTAATTAGGTAAGGAAGTAATCGATGCTAATGTATTGCTAATATTACTTACCGTTCACCAATGAACGCATAAGGATACACTTGTTTACAATAACTATTGCTGATCTGAATTACTTTAAATTGAGATGTGGTTATTTCGTCATGGACATGTATTTATTTACGTTGTAGATGAAAAAGACGAAAACATGAACACGGCTTTCCTAAAGAAGCTCCCGAATGGCCACACTTCATTGACCAACGGTCACACTTCAATGACCAACGTTAACCACCTGGAACCTGGAAGTGTCTCAGGGGAGGGTACAGAGAATACCGTACTTCACAGGTCAGTCTGAGGATGAGGTCTTTGTGCTGTTATAAACACATATCAGATTACTGCCTGCTTGTATCTTGCAAGAACAGTTGCCCTGTTTGCTGTCCGCAGTATCTTCTTAAATTGTTGCAAATAATTTCCGTAGACGATCAATATTCCTGTTAAAATCGTTTAGCGGATCTAGCATTTTGTATTCTAAGGAAGGTGATTTATGCAGGGCTGTTGACTGAGGGAGAATATACTTATAATCATATTAAGATGAAATGGTGATGTTCTGTACTTGATTAATGATTTCAAAGTTTTCCAAAGTTACGTCAAAAAAGTATTCCTGAATTTGTTTTACCTTGTCAAAATGAACATACCAATATTTGGAGCGAAGAAGTAAATTGCTTCTCTTTTTAACGTTATAGAGTGAGCGGTGAGAAGGTCATGTATGACATGCCAGAAGCTTCACGATGTCCTCTGTATCACAAGTACCTTGTCCGAAGGGTAAGTTCTAGTATAAGAAGGCTGGCTCATTTGTTATGCCACTTATGTCGAATTTCATAGAACCAAGTCTTTTTCGTGTGTCAAAATAATCATCCAAAAGCTATTTAATGGTGTTTAAACCAATATCATCTTGATGCATTACTTCAAAATGGAAAAAAAACTTTAACAATGTTTATTTTAATGGTTTACGGTATTATATACTAATAATCCTAACTGCTTATGGTTGTTAATTTTCTGTAATTAGGACAGCTATTTATTAGACCGTGGTCCGAACGCACCCCTGTATGTGTGGGTAGGACATCAGGCGAGCGAAGGAGGGATCAGCAACGCTCTCCTACGGGGCAAGGTATGTATACCCAAGTTGTCAATAAGTGCGAATGAATTACTATTGTATTTCACACTAGATGTAATGTAATGATCACAACTAGAAAACTTATTTAATAAAAAACAGCGGGAAGCAATATTCAATCACCCTCGTAGTGTAATTTATATTCACAATCAAATATGTTTGCTTATCATTTAGCACATAATATACATATTGGTGTTATTATTTATCGTGCTGTAGGCCTTTTGTGAACATCGGGGTTATCCTTCAACCATGACGGTGTGTCGACTGATGGAGGATCATGAACCCACAGAGTTTAAGAAAAATTTCTACGACTGGCGTGAAACAGATACGAAACGGCGACAGCTTACGAAAAAGTACAGCATAGGAAATATTGGTGAGTTGGTGAAGTATGTAAAGATTGGAAAAGTAAACATTACTTTTGGTGTGGTTAACATTGTGCCCTTAAACGAAATTTAAAGTTTAGTTCCAAAAGGCAAATACAAATTTAGTTTGAATATATACATGTATTTGCAGAAAATCCTGTTCTTCTTGCGTATATATGACTAAGAATTATGATTTTAAGGGGTTGTAAACGTAAGTTGGAAAAGGTACCTTTAGAAATACACTTGTCTCCAAGTACATGTAGCTACACTACATAAACTTCCATTCAGAATGGGTCGACCTAAGTATCAAATATATATCTTAAGTTGTAAGATCAATGCCGAGTTTGTCCATTCATATTGTCCTTCTCTGCATCATTCAGATTCAAACGTTTATGTATGAATAATCTCTTCGAATACAAATAAAGGAGAACTTGATGAAAAGTAAGAATATGCAGAAAAATCAGTTAATCATTCATGCACCATATTATTATTTCGAACAAAAAATCAACAGTCTTTGCCATTCTATATTTATGACGGCTTATGTTCAGTGTCTGTATCATTGAAAAACTGTTCTATGAGCTTTTTACTTTACCTAATCTTTCGACGTGTTTTCCTTTAAAGAACGAGCGTTGTTTTCCACCAAAGACAACAGGACGGTGGCCAAGATGAACGAACATTGGTCTGATGACGTGTTTCCTGATGGTGATCCAGATACAGAGGTGAGCAGATAAGTTTATCGCTTTATAGTTTCTCTATACATAAAATAGAAAAAAGGATACCTCAGTTTAACTTAAAACTAAAAAACCACTAAAACAAGCAATGACTATCTTATATAGGAATGCATGATTTTTTGTCATTTTTTTTTCAAAATGGAATGTATCTATTTGGCAACAATTATGTAAGAAATCCATGGATACTGCAACAAACCTGCATACTTTGCTCATTAGCAAACTCTGTAGTTCAAACTTAAGGGAAAATACCACCACAAGCAGGTAAACATCATTCAATATTGCTTAAAACTACACTAAAAACTGGAAGTATGAAAACCTAATACCGTTTTGTTCTTGTATTTCGTTCTATAATATAATGTTAATATTAAGGATATGATCTTTGGAGTTGTCGATCAATAAATGATTTGTTTATAGTTATTGAATATTTTGAAAATCCAGCGACACAAAAAGATTATCAACTGGCAGCAGATGGCGCACGACGATGGTTGGTAAAAACCCAATACTGCATAAGTTATTCTTTCGATGTATGATTTTGATTGTCTTATCGGTATTTTACATTTGATGTTAGTTCAACTATGAATACTTCCATAACAATACTTTTTTTTAATTTCATATAAGGTGTGGCGCGTGCAGGGTGACACATTGGAGCAGGTGCCCTGGGATCAACATGGAGTGTTTACGAACGGACAGTGTTATATCATACGACACCGCATCACGGAAGATGACGGCAATGTACACACCGTTATCTACTACTGGATGGTACGTTAATCGTTTATGTAGCTGTCAAATGAAAAGGAAGATAACTCTTATAAACGTGTGCATGGTTTATACCACTCTGGGTGAATTTTAACTCATACCATAATACATGGAGGGGAATCGCATCAGTGTAGTCATTATTTTTTGTTCCAGGGGTCCAAAAGTCCAGAGAGTGTTCAACAGAAGACCATCGACCTGGTACTAGACATGAACAAAGCAATTGGATACAAGTGTGTTCTCGTAAGTATAAGCGTATGATGCTTAATAATTACTGACCTCATGGATAATATGTTCAAAAGAGAATTGCATTGGCATTTTGGATCGTTGACGAGTTGTCGAAATGCGTTGTAAAGGATCAGTCTTTAGTCAAATAGAGAGTTAATTCACTGTTTACAATTTTGATTGATATCACAAATATATACCATTGCAGACAATAATATTTGTGTTCCATCAAACCGGCTCTCGGAGGGAAATCATTAGTTGCCAAACACTCGGCAAGTGTTGTGTTTAGCGACTTGAGAATGAAAGATTTTAAAATTCTATTCTATATTGTCATTTATAACAAAAAGGTACGATATTTAATAAAAAATAAAATAACTTTTTTTTATCAGATACAAACAGAACTAGTCGAATAGCAGAGTGTGTAGTAATGATAAACTATTGTTTACAAAGGGGCCTACAGTAATGAGTAATTTATGCTAAAAAACCCATTTTCAGATAATGCAACTGATTTATCGAGAATCCATTTTCTTTGGTAAATTATGTCCCCAACGCAAAATTATTGATTTGAAAGTGGATTGAACTCAACTTTAACCTCTCGCCTTTCTTTCTGGTCCTTTTTAGGTTCGAGTTTTAGATGAAAAAGAACCACCACACTTTATGTCAACAATACAGAACAGTATTATTGTGGTAAGTGTCACGTGCTTAGTTATCTATATAATGAATACACTCTAAATACATAGCACATAATGCTCCAAACGGAGTAACCTACCACTCTATCAGTATCTTTCAAACGAAACAAAACCATAAGAGGAAAAACAAACAGAAGAGAACGAATCCAACCCCAGAGTAATGATTCTACGTTGTGTTACATTTTGCACAATAATGAAGTCAAGATAATGAAACTTTACGGATACATTTTTTACCATGTACTTGACTTTTCTTTACCAGTACGATGAAGATTTACAAGATAAGCCTTCCGACCGACAGATGTACTGTATCAGGGAGTTAGACAACGGCAGTATGAGGGTACAACAGGTACGCTGACGTCAACAGGAGGCATTACGTCTGGTCTATGTGCATATTTAGCTACAATCGTTTTGTGAGGTTGAATGTGAAAAATGTTTTTGCTATTAAAATGCATTGTATTTAGGCTTCCCTTGTCAATATTTTTTCTCTTGTAATATAAAATTTGCTTTGTAAAACATGCATTTGCTTATTTATCACTTATTACAGAATTATAATTCAATCGTAATTATGTCAATGAAATTAGTATCTGAATTAGTGTGTTGTTTGCTGTAGGTACCGGCATCATCAGAGTGGCTCAATACATCTGCTTCCTTCGTATTGACGACACCATCCGCGTGCTTTCTATGGTATGGAAAGGTAAGATTGCTTTATTCCAAAAATGTTTGCGTATATATTGATGAAATAGTCTACTGTTATTTCTTTTAATAATATGATTTAATATTATTTTATTTTCAATATAATTTCTTTTCAGAAATCAGGAGGTCATGAACGAGAGTATGCCAAGAACCTATTGGGATTCCTCAATCCATCTAGGTAAGATTGCCACAACCTTAATATAACGGATCTTATCACAATTTAAAAATTCAGTTTAATTATAAATAATGTATCGAATTACATGTCCGTGTAAGAATTATTGTGCATTGGGATATAAAGACCAATTTACGGATACTTTTCTTATCTTCTTGCACTTTGAATTTTTGGAAATTCACTTTCAGTATATAATTTACTATATGGTACACTGACGTCTGATAGTCTTTGCCTATTTTTTAAGACATTTCAAGTATTTTTGTTCTTTTTCTTCCAGAATGTACACGTTTGACATTGTGACAGAGGGTAAAGAGGGTAATGCATTCTGGCATATGATGGGACCCGAGATAGAGCATCCAAAGGAATTCTCACAAGATGTATGAATTATTTATTTACATACGTTTAAATGTATTTTTGAATGATCGGGATAGTTTAACTATTTCATTAATACTATTCGAAGAAAAAATATGTCTGTTAAAAAAGGAAGTAAATGTGGTGTATTCTTATCGACAGAAATTAGAACGCCGACCTCCCAGGATGGTCATCTGTCACCTAGACCAAGGTTCACAATACAAATTCCAGGATATCGATAACTTCACACAACAGGTAATATTATAATACTATGAGATGTTTCAAAGTACGTCATGACATATTTTCAAAGACTTTCAAGATGGTATTTTTTAAAGGTCACGGTTGGGATATTCAATAATATATACCAGAAATGATGTAATATCTTTAGTTTCAATGAAAACATGTATGCTTTTCATTGAAACAATACTAATAATGATCAACTCTTATCGGTGAATAGAGATAATTTCCTCGGCTAAATCTTTCGAGCTGCAAAACCATAATGTTTGCAAGGTTAATATGATTGCAGATTCTTGAAGACAAATCGTACGGGAAAGCATTAGGAACACGTAGATTTTTTTTTAAAATTTCGTTTTTTTCGTGTTACGTCAGTGACATATTGACTTTAAAGCCAATTCAAAGTTTAATCGTATTTTCGCATATGCGTTTATCATGTGCAAGCACCTCAACAATGTCTAAGGTAGATGAGGTGTGAAAATTTTTATATATGAATATATACACATCCTTTGCTTTAATTTAACATATTGTATTGCAAATAGTATCTATAAATATCGATCTGAATTAAGCGTCCAAACTTAAAAGGGCCTGAGTCATATCCTTCCTAAATAAAATCTCATACGTTACTTTGGTTTTTTTCCCACAGGATTTAGCGGACGCAAACATGTTCATTTTGGACACTTTCGATCTGGTGAGTATGAATGATATTAATAATGTTAAAAAACAACAGGATATAAATTCAATTATATTCGTTAAATAATGAAATACTAACGTGTTTAATTTGTTTTATATTAACATTTTAATATCTAAATGAAATTGCATGTCTCTTTTTACTTGACGTTAAACATGTCCATTTTTAATATTGGACTATGTTCTCTTATTCTAGTTTTCATTGACGATATCATTTAAATATTTTATGCATTAGTAATATCATATTTTGAATTGTAAACATTTGGTTGTGACATGTTATAGGTTTACTTATGGACCGGTTCCACAGTAAATGACGCCATCAGAAGCCAGGCATACACAATTGTCAAGGTAGGTCAGGTCTATTTCTGAATGAATCATAGCAAAATATTCTTTTTAGTTGCTGTGTAATAGCAATCCTTACTTTGAAATACAGTTTTGTATTCTGTTTTTATAAAAAAGAAAAAACCACGAAGTTTCTCTATTAGTAACAAGAATACAAATTCAATCTATATGTCTGTATCTTTGTGACCTTTTTTACTTCCGGTAACAGGCTTACATGCAGAGAGATCCTGCAGGACGAACGTTTGATACGGTACGGGTGTGGATGACGTCACAACAGGACGAGTCTGAAACCTTCACAAAGTATTTCCGACAATGGTCAACTAACGGATATTGCGTAAGTTTTAGTCACGCCTCCTTTAGGAGTGGTCATGTTTTCTATGATTTTATGAACAGCTTATTGTGAAATTACATCATTTCACCACTTAGAAAGGTCAGAATATTTTCAACGTCATACTTGGTTATTGACATTACGTCTTCTTTAACTCAAACCACTGATGTTGATTTTAGATATTTGAAAAAAAATATTCATAGAATTCCCGCAAAGTATACTTTCCTTTCCAGAAGTGATTTATCAAAACTATAAGCATGCGAAAAAAACATTTTAAAATGCATAGTTACAGTTTTTGGCAGTGGTACGGGGATCCTAAAAAAAAAATAAAAAAATATAACATTGTTTCATGAAATTTCCTGCAGACAAAAGACGAATGAATTATGATCTTTTTTTCTCTTGATACATAACTGTAATTCACGAAAAAAATAACTACTTTCCTCTCTGTTTAATATTATTATGGATGTTATTTGAATTTCAGGGACAGGACAAATATGACTTAGCTAGGAAGCGAATACGACAGGAAAACGCTCGGATAGATGTAGAACGACAGGTAAGGGGAGATAACCTCTCCATTACCATATTACTAACGATTAACCTACAGATTATGCGGATGTTGCTAATATGTGTATGCTATGAAAATATGTTGCAAGTTAAAGAGGAGGCTTATCTGCGAAATAGTTAAACAATAAGATCATGGATAAATATTATATGCTAACAAACGGGCCAACAAGGGTTATTCATATAAGTTGAAATAAGAAATGGAGTTTATATTCATATCTAAATAGTATATGGTATGCGTAAGTCCACGTACATATCACTTGTAAACATAAACTACTTGTCGTTCATCAATGATATACATGTATATTTCTATGTAGATGGTAGACAGGTCTCACGTGAATTATCCGAAGCATGACTATCGCCTTCTCCTCCGGGAGGAACAACCAGAAGACATCGACGACCAACACAAGGAGGTGAGTATTTAATGCACGACACATTTATTTCCATCGTTAAAATTAGAAATCGTCTCCTCTAATTGTTAACACGTGTGGTATGATAAAGATTTCAGCAACTTTTTAAAGTAGTACTGGTTATTGAAAATGTCGTAATGTTAGCATCGCTTAATTATACATTAAGTGTAGAAAATCATCTTCAGGTTTTATGCTACCTAACACATTGTATCCATAATTTTTTGAAAAAAAGCGTCTAGTTGTTTTAGTTTTAACTCCCTAGACATTGAGCCAGTTATTATCTAAACGTATTGTATAAAGTGCATTCTTTCCTTCGATTGTGGTATCTATAATTTAACTCTTCACGTGTTATGTGTTTGTAGTTCCATCTGACGGACAAGCAGTTTTTTGACGTTATGCGCCATAGACGGGTCGAGTTTTACCGACTACCTCTATGGAAACAGCAACAAATTCTGAAGTCAACTCGTCTGGCTTATATTCCTCCTGCAACCAAACCTCTGTCCATCAGTACTCCGAACACACAGGAAACGTGATTAATGCATGAAAGCATGGTTACTGTAGCACGTTATTAAAGGAAGTGTCGAGCTGATCTACATTTCGCGGAGAGAGTCTTAAGAAAGACAAAAAGAACATTTAATGGTTGAAGCAATTGTTTCAGCGCATTAACTGAGGAAAGTGCTAATATAAATGTTATAAACAATTGTTTTGAACGCATGTGATAGTCATAAACATGGCTTGCGTAAATGCATCGACTGGATATGCTTGGTAACAGGCACTGCAGTTTAAACGTGTATCTCAAGTCAGATCATAACAATGATGTAACCTTTGCATATTTCTTGACATAGCTGCTAGAATTGCTGGCGTTTGCATTGGACACATTATAATATAAGATTACTTTATATAAGTCAATCTCATATAGAATCATTTTACCCCATTTAACAGAGTTATTGGACTGCAAATTGCTTGATATATGTCTGGTCGACTAGCTAAGCATATTTGAAGCATTAATTGGTATATTGGGCCGTTTGTTCATTAGACCCAACGTTACATGATATAGAGGCTAAAAATGCATCAAGGGTAATACTTTCTCTTCGTGGGGACATTGTTAGTGGGAAATGTCACCGGTATATTTTAATGCAAATGACACTGATTATATTGCTTGAATGAATGAGCAAAATTGTAATAGAACGAGTGAATGACATTCGAATGATAATATGCTTAAACGTGTGCGACAGTTGGATGAAACTTTGTATGACAAATTCGTGCTAGATTACAATTATTTAAATGTGTGTAGCGCAATTCGATTGCAATATATACGATTTAGGAGGTACTATTACATTAATTTGCATTCCATCCTTTGTATGTCAATAATATTTTCATTTTATATTTACATAATTTCCGAGCCTATTGTGATATAATTATTCAATTGTATTCATCGTTATATATTTATTACTTACCACGCAACATTGTTATCGTTACTGTTACCTAGGTAACAGACATTTTTATGAATTAAAATTTTCAACTTCAAAACTTAATTGTAGAGTTTTTATTTAATGTTCATTGCATTATGGACTATTTCATACAGCTTAGAACATTTATGTCTTAAAAGAAACTTAAACATCACGAGAAGGAACCTCTAACACTTACTGACCACAAGAAAAATATATATTAGTATTTAGGATCGAATGACACTATACAATGATGTTAAGCAAGCCATTTCAGTGGTTAGCATGTTACCAAATTTATATTCCGACCTTAAAGTTTTTCCAATCTTAGAGATCGGGAAAAAGGAAACGATCATATATATTTAAATCCAAACATGTTCAGTAATGACCTTTACGGTACGTTGATACATGTATTCTTAAATATCTTCTCTGAAAGTGGTGCCGTCTTACAATAGAAATTGACGTCAAATACCCAGGTTTATATGACGTCATTTAAACCAGAGAAAACAAATTCACAAGCAGAGGTTAATATTATCATAATTTGGTTAAAACCATATCTTAATCAGAATTCTTACAGTACATTCGTTTTATATTTTTAAAGCGTGTTGTTGTAAACATAAATGGCGGAAGATATTCGCACCACAGTGACATGTAAACGACTTGACATGCCAAGCGTAGATCAAGATATGATTTGTATTAGATTGGTAGATGCATACACTTGTATATCAGAAAGTACATAGATATAATACAAATCGCTATGCCGTTAGTTGAATTAATCACATCATTTAATAATATTACAGTCAGATGTTTTATAACGAAACAGTTTGTAGATTCTGTCCAATTTCTTATATTACTTTACTTTTGTGAGAAAAGACTTTTCGAGTCAATTTGCAAGGAGACTTATTAATTAACGTAGATATACCATCATTTGAAATGAAAATAAAATATACGCTATTAAACTTATAGGGTTAGTAAGCAAAGTGACGAACACGCTAAAAGACAGTAATTTAAGTGATTTTACTTGTAATCACGTCTGTATCCAGCAAATACAACATTAAAAAATGCGTAATTGCCCACAACGTTATAGGGTGGGATGGATTTAAGCATAGTAATTTAAACAGCGCTGAGCTGATATCGATAACATCTGTAAGCAAGGACAGTAGCATTATCTTCCCATGACTGCTGAACCTGAAAGGTTACCTATCTCGAAAGCTGTTGTGCTACATTTATTAACTTAATGTAGTCACTTTCTTGAGACACTGACACAAATTACTACGCCGGAGTGGGATTGTTCGGGGAGTCACAGCATTAATTCACCGATTAAAAGTACATTGAGTATAACTCCTTTTTTCACTACTAAGTTATTGAAAGAAAGTACCACACAGTTTCACGACAGTGCTATCTTCCTAATCATTGGACGAATGGTCAAGCAAAAGCAGGACTACTTACACTACGCAGTAGCAGATCGAACAGGTGGTTGGAGATGGTACCGAGCCTGTACACCACCATTTCACGGTTCTTCACGGTCGCCTGGTGTCTTATTTGGATGGCCTCCTTCATTCATAAAGTGAATTATTCATTGTGATGAACTTTGATAATGATTTCGTGTTTCATCTCCTTGACGAGCTGCTAGTGTCTGCAAAGTCAAGACATTGGAGACATTCCGATGCTGCATTGCGGAAATTGCGACGCCTTTTCATGACTTCTGAGTTGTTATAGTAATTTAAATGATAGAGAAATACTCTTTCATGCCCTGAGGTGTTGTAAAAAAGGGAATCTCTACCTTCGATATTCTCAAATTGGTACAAAACCCTCGGCAAGCCTTGGGATTCAATTCATTTGAAAACCTCTTGAGTAGAATTTCCCTAGTTGCACCTCTGGAAATGACAAAAAAAAAGTCTCACATGTATAACCGATTCATGGTGTCGTTGTAATTTAATAACTCGCTGACAAATTATACTAATATGGACAGGATGACCGTTTGATGCAGTAATTGATTTCTTTTTTGGGGTTTCTACGTCGACCTTAAACAAATTAAGATGTGTTTCTTTACTTCTATTTCTAGTTATCGTTTACGTGACAAGCTGATTGGTTGTACTATATTGGACTATTAATCTCAAGGTAATCAGAATCTTTTCTCCAGTTGTCATTTATTATGTTACACGGTAAACATAAACGATTTGTCTTAATACAAATAACTTGCAGCCAAAGCATTTTTTTATCAAACTGTTAAGGGTCTGACATAGTAGATTTGTATCCTGTATCAGGGAAAGGACTTCGTATGGGTTGTTCAACTTGTGCCCAATCCCATCGCTAATTATATTGGCAATACAATGAGTTTATTTAATTAAGTAACTCTCAGGCGAAATACGGCGTAAGACTACATGAGCGTTTTTTGCTTGTTCGGATTAAACTTGGATCAACATTTTACTCTTTACATTGCTATACTGTAAAATATACTACGGTAGATAAACGATGATTCATATGTAGCTTGGCAACAAAAAATACAGAAACTCGGATATATAATAGGTCGGTAACATTCAAATCGAAAAATTGTTTGCATCAAAATTTACCCACTTCACGGTAATATAAGAATATGATATTTTTCTAATATTCATTGAAACGTATTTTACATCATTGATACTTTGGATAAAAATGAACAAGCAATTCATTGTTTAAAATGACAATCGAAGCATTGATATAATTGTAAGAAAAATATTTATTATAAAAATGCTTTATACTTTAATTGTACAACATAAATGAGATCACACAAGTAAGGTATCACACAACACATGTAACGTCAAACAGGTGAGGTAAGCTTTGGATTTGTTCGGGAAATCTGGATGAAAGTGATCACTGATGCACACACATTTCTGTATCTCAGCTTCATTCGTTCAGACCGGCTCTCCTTATTCCATCCAGATGTGTGTAAATCACGGCTATCAATAACCTGTTGAACATAAGGTATTGAGTTATTATTCTTGAACATTACTGTCTATATAAATCAAGACATACAGATCATCACACGACCGAAGTATGTGTTTCTATTTGGCAGCATGCAAAACAAAACCTGTACATCATTCTTTCTGTGAATAGCAAATACAATGCTTAGAAACATTATTTGTAAGTTATGTTATACATGCAATAAACCATTCATTTTAGACTCTGCGAATGCTAATTATACTAAGCATGATCAAAGTTATATAGAATCTAAAGAAAAGCGGAAAAATCCATCTAGTAATATTTAAGAACATTATTCATGATCGATGTTAAATACAAATGTTAAGGAAAAGCTATATTTTTATACTCTAGTCATGTTTAGTAGGTACTTACCGCCAACAGTGGGGTATGTAGGGTATCCGGGATATCTCCGTGGGAATTGGGGATATCGTGGGTACAGTCCTGGGTAACGGACACTACTGTCATATCCTACAGGAAATAAAATGAAACATATATACTTTATTTAACAACACCGCGAAGACTCTTAATGCGTCTTGGATAAGTATAGTATAATAATTGGCTTAATGGTAATCAATTAAAACACAAGAAGACAAATCTTATGTCGTTGAAACATTTTTGATACTAAGCCTTCAATTATGTAATGTTATGATAATATACATAAACAATATAGACCTCCGTATATAACAAGGTACTTACTGTTGGATCTGTATGTACCTGTCGATCTCTTGTAACCTAATAGTGATAAAACATGACAATTAGCCAATCATAGCGATTGTTACAATCAAAACGTGTTCCTATGTGTTCCATAAACAAGAGTAATAAAAGAAAGAAGATATGCTCTGTGTGTATTTTATTTTGTTTGTATGAGTAAGCTTATACATAAGCTTATATAGCTATTATTTTTCCTTATGGTCGTCCATACTACTTGGAAAGGGAAATCGATTGTCTTAGATTATTATTTAAATTATTTTTTAAAAAGTTTTGACTTTTAAAACGAAGATCACTTTTTTTTAAATATGTGTAAAATAATGCATGCTTCTGCGTGATGTTGATAGTATTTGTTTCTTGTTACTTTTACGGATTTATTGGAATTTTCAGATAGGTCATCATTTTAATTTTACGTCAAAATTACAATTTCAATTCATAGAGAAGATCCTTTTATATTTTTATGAAATGGAACTTCGTTATAAAGCAGGTGCATGGCACAATAAGGTTGTTTACATTCTTAAGCATCCAGGTTACAGTATTGGCATACACCCTTAAGTTTCATGTCACAGCTAAATGTAAGTAGCATACACCCTTAAGTCTACACGTCACGGTCAGGTAACATATATCATTAAGTCTGGTGTCACTGTGTGGTAGTACACATCTTTGTCCTATTCTTCTTATATAAACGTTTCCATGAATATATTTTTTTGTTCGTCATTTTCTGTTTTTCTTAAATATCCACATTATAGTAAGATAACCGATACAACTGACATCCTTAAGACTAGGACACACAGTATCTTTTTTGTTTTTGTAAAGATATCAAATGTATTATACAAAAAGCTATTGATTAAGATTCATGCATTTAAATGAACTCACGTCTTCCGGTTGTTGGGTATGTTCCTTGCTGGTGCTGTGTGGGGTACAATACGGAGCTCTGGTGTCCCAACACCCTGGGCAGTCTTGATCCGACGAAAGCGTTTCCGACTTGTCCGAGTAAACCGTTCCTTACGTAACTAGGGTATACAGTACCCACAAATCCATTCCTGACTGATCCCCTGAACCCCGGGACCAACCCACCGCTTCCCACTGACCCCTGGGGGTACAGGTCCCAGTCGTCATCATGTGTTGGGTAGTTGGGACGGTAACTGGTGGCAAAGGTCACGCCGACACAAACCGTGACAATAACTGCTAGAGTTAGACCGTTCATTGTCCTGTAACGGATGGGAGTAAAATATTATAGTAATACACTGATACTGTTAACAACAAACTGAAGTTTCAGTTGCCGGTAAAAAAAAAAACTATTGAAATTATATATGTTTATATTGCAAAATATAAAAAAAGGAATAACGAAGGTCTTTAAGATGTGACATTTTTGTTCGCTTGGACACATATTTAATGCTGCTTTTTATATTGTATGATTAAAGAAATGCCTTTCAATTAATTTATGTAAGGTACCCAAGAACATATGAAATGATCGGATAACTGATCAATTTTCGTTGTGTTACTAGCTATTTAACTTATCAAAAGAAAAACTCAAAAAATTATATATTTAAATTATGTTACCAAAGCAAACTGTTGTTCTTATTACTGCAAATATATCTTCATGATTCAGAAAATTTAAGAAAATGGTAAAAAAATCATTCAATTACTTACCTTCTGTTTTCTGCTAACAGTGAGTGAGATGGTTGAAATTTCGGCTGGACTTGCGATGTGATTGTGACACCAGAGTTTGCGACTTTATATACATTCTTATCAGGAAATAAAATGATGATTAAGAATGGAACTTCACCCAAACTGCGTTCATTTTTTAATATAACAAAAGAAGTGAATGAGTTATTAGCTTGTGGTACACAACTCTGATACCTTATGACGTCACAGAATATGATTGAGCTAATTATAAACAGAGACATTCATTCATATATGTACTTGTCTATGAGTTCGTATTATAATTAAGTATGTATGTTTGTGAATATCAATCATAGTTTGGTTACACATGACAACACAGCCCACATCACGTGTTAGTATCAACTGGTGTATTGTGTGGTGATATTGACTTTAATTTATACAAACACACATTTACGATTTAAATGCGTAACATCAATTACAGTACCTAAATACCTTGTGGTAAGCAAAACGAGAAATAATTTTGAAGTTAAAATCTAATAACCAATGTTTGAATATATTGATTATCTGTTCAATCAAGATGTTTTAAATCGGGTATACATATGATACAAGAACCGACGAAACAGACAAAATACAAAGCAAGAATATTATAAAAACACAGTTAAGAAAACCAGGGTTCTGAAAAGATCAGCGTCTCCTTCACCGTATGTGGAGGCAAATGTGGGGAATCAACATTCTATTGCACAGTAAAAATTAACCAGACTGATAACTCATCTCATTGTTTAAGTCTAGTAGTGATAATTCTGAAACCACCAGTATCCATATAAATACAATATTTCCCATAATATCGATGTAAATAACATTCTTTAGTTATGAATATTGCCCTGGTGCTACTTAATAATTGAAATAACACAGGAAGAATGATATCATTGGTACCTATATAAAACGTAGGACGAATTCTATTGAAAGGAACGATGATCTGATCACAACAAAATAAAGATTTTATGTATTGTTTTAAATCACATGATGATGGCTATAATAGTTGCAAAATCATATGACAAAGAAATGCATATCTTGGTTTTGATAAACTAATTTTATCTGGGACAAATATAAGTGGTACAGGATGAAGAACACGTGCTGTGTCGGTGTCTATTATAACGTGACTTACAACCTATACTTTTTGTGGAAAGCAGCAGCATTAAATGAGTGTTACAAAATGTATTTTATCAGGCAATGATATATGTAAAAATGCTTCCAATACCTGTTTAAATGCTTTTAAAAGTAGACAGAATTTATAAGTAACATCAGAAAAGTTTTTTTATATATTCTAATGGGCAATACTTCTTTTCTATATTGCACATGATTGTTATATAATTGAAAATAGTATGTGTAACAAAATTGATTTATTAACAGTTAAACTTTAGTGTTTGTGTTTTTTGAAAACTAATTTGATATATTTGAAATGTGTCCTGTTCAATACATAGATATAATCTTAGTATAATCATGTTATGGTATGAATAAAATCAATACAATTATACTGATTATTATATTGCTAACTGCTTTATCGAATGTATATGTTTATATGATTCCATGATGAAATGAACGCTTTTTAGCAAAGATATGATTGATTTATATGATAATTTACTGATGCATTGCCTGCTACTCGTCTCTAATAATTTATTAGTGAATGTCTCATTCTAAAGTGGACACGTTGGCCATTAGTCAATGCATACATGTAAATAAATACATAAACCAACATAAAATACCAACACGTTAAAACATATTTATCAACACCATAGAATGAGACATTCACTAATAAATTATTAGAGACGAGTAGCAAGCAATACATCAGTAAATTATCATATAAATCAATGGCACGTTAAACAGAAGTGGTGGATGTCACGCAATATTGATGTCACTGTATGCTACGTTATGGACATATAATGTACCCCGAGTATTTAAGTCTTTGTACTTACAGGGATATAAAACAGTCGAGCTACATGTAGGCGTTTAACTAATGTGAGCAGCATTATGTCAAGCGTAAAGGCATTATGGTTTATCAGTAGTAAGTTGACCTATTATGTCAGTATATCGCCAAGGTAGGAATGTGCTTAATCGTTGCTCATATATTTAAGTACATGGCCTTTCCTTCACATATGTGATATATGTACGTTTCTGTATTATTTTCTATTGTAAAAATCATAACAACATCACGTATTATTTCAATCAATACTAAAACCACAACGAGAGTCAGTACCTGTAATAGAATCAATCAACATTTTGTTCTGGTTGTTTACAATGATAATTTCTCTCAGACAAATTTGGTTGAGACGGTTACAGTAAGGCATGCGACCATCTGCTATGAGATAAACGACAACTTTGGGATCACCTTAACGTTTACCGTCTACTGTAATGATAATGAGGTGTGGTGTGGGACAGAATGGTTCAGGGGATAGACAGGTACTCGTACTTCTCAAATCAAACATACTGTAAAATTATAAATGTTCGTGGGACCATAAAATTCGTTTATTTCGTGGATATTCGAAATTCAAATCTCCACGAAAACATAAATTTGGTATGATATGTATAGGGGGAAATCAGAAATTAGCGAAATAAATGTCCTTGAAACACGCTAGTATATGAAAACCACGAAATTATAACCCCACGAAAATATATGATTCTACAGTATGTACACTTAGAATCGCTCATTAGGGCAAATTCTATAATTATGATTTAATACGATTCGCTGTAACAATGCAATTAAAATGTATGCAACTGCAGATAGAGAGTCAGAGCTCTCTGTGGTGTGTCTCCAAAGAGGGAGAGTAACAAATTGTTCGTCATTAACAGATTTGGTGTTGTTTGCCCAAATAGTATATGAACGCGTTATTCAGGAAACCTCGCTACTAATCATGGCATTTGGTAATTGTCATGTTAATTTTCATAAACCTTACATTAATTTCAGCATTTTCCTTAAAAAAACTCAACATATAGTTGCCTTTGTACTGATATGGAGGAAATGGCATACATTTTTATCTAAGCTTTCTACAATACAAAAGTGGTAAGATTACCATGATTGACTTATTGAACGACCGGGGAATGTTGTATACATGATACAGATTGAAGACTGAAAACCCGGAAAGTAAGAGCGAAGAAAGTTTAAGGTTTCTGTTTATTGTTTTGTTTTTGCGATTAACTATTTTTACGTATGTTATTCCAACAACATAGGATTAAAATTCACGAAAGAACTTGTGAACAAAACATTCTGACCTCGTAAAACTAACGTGATAATAAAACTATCGCAAAATGTTAGTGACTTGTAGATTACAGAATTATTAATTAAATGATACCTTCATCTATATACCTGACGACAAGATATCGATCAGAGCGTCTCATCATTGTAACTTAAACACTCTATATAGTGAGTGGCGTCAAATCAAGACCAGATATTCTTCCTTTACCTAAACTTCTTTAACGGTTCGTTTAAAGGGGCATCACGGTGAAGTAACTTTATTTTTTGTCTTTTTTTTTCAAAAAACACATAAACATATCAAGTGAGACTCCTTATGGAAAATAACGATCTGATTTGGCTGAAATAGATTCATAAAAATGATTAAATCTAAGATAATCATCGGTATTTCTACCTGTCTGACCAACGTTTTGTTCAGAGATTTCCCTCTACTAGCGCATGCGCATATCACACCATTTCTTTGTAAACAAAATGACTGGCCGTGTGAAGTAAGCGAAAGAAAAGTGTTGTACCGTGTCAGCTACGAAACGAAAAGTTGACAAATGGTCAAAAGATAGCGCAAGGATTACGTTACGGAATCATTATTGCAGGTGGGTAGTATTCAAAGGAGAAAATAACTGCCGTAGCAGTTAGCACGGTGCATGTATTCTTCCGGATAGCCGGTTAAGCTGAAATGGAATCGACATGAATACATATCTAAAACTATTAAGCTCACTAGTATCTTTGTCTGAGTTTTAACACAGATGAACTTAGTTTAATATGTTAATGGGCATGTATTGGAGAGAGTTTACTTTGTGTTTCTATAATTATACAGTGGTTATGTGAAAGGAAGGGATAAGTGACTGGTTAGTTTGATTTTGCCATTAGGCCCTACAAGGGATAACTGTTGTGATGGCCCACAGCGTATTTTCTGGGTCACCGAAATACGTGTTATCTAAGTCCGTGGATTTACATAATTTATAATATTACCGGGTTCAATAAAATGGTATGATTTAATTATATTGCTAAATTAAACGATTATTTTTGTTTTTACATGCAAGATTTAAATTAGTACTAATGCCCCGAAAAGGTTTGTCCCTTGGTGTAGGTAAAGTGTTTAGCCCCGTACCATCTGTACCGGCCACATTCCGGTACTAAATTCAATATATATTTAAATATATCTATTTTATGTGTATGCCTATTATCATTGTTGACATTTAATTGTAAATGTATGACGGGAGAAGGCTGTGATAAATTGTAAAAACGTGTGCCCCATCCCTTGTTTAATTTTATTGGCAACAAATTTATGTTTAAAGCTAAATAAATTTAAATTCTGAACATTGGCAAGTGTGCAATTAACTTCTAATGATGAATAATTACTGTTCAATAAGTTTGAATACGGACTTAGAAATCATATAACTTGGTTTCATAGTGCGGTAAGAAGTTGCAGTTGCCTAACGGCCCCTCTCTGGGGGCCCCTTTGGAAACCGTTTCATCTCGCTCGCACCACTTGTGTTTACTGCCTAGTCAGGTGACGTTATCGGCGCTATTTTTAGCAGGGCTTTCCCGAACAATTCAAGTGGTCAAACTGGACATTTGGAACGGACTATGAATATGGGGATAGCCAGGTAACATAAGTGGAAGTGCATACAATACATACATTCATTAAAAAAAACGCCTTTTCACTTGATGTCCCTTTAAATTAGAAATAGGTAAGTATACCGGCACAAACTTCAAAGACTGGCTGATATTCCTAACCTTTAAAAAAAAAGACCCTATTGAACTGAAAGGATGTAAGGTGATATACATTCAACACATACATGTTCACGCCATGTACCTATGCAAAAAGTCATTGACTGAGAAATTTCAATTCTTTACAAGTGG